CAATCAACAAATACAACTTTTGGCTCTAAGTTTGATGACCCTCAATTTTGTGCCGTCTTTGACAAGTTTCCTATTGTCTGCCTTCAAGAAATAAGACAACCTGTCAAACACTCGGGTTACAGGTCCTTCAATAAAACCCGCCGGGACAAAAAACATGGTGGCGTATGCATAATGGTCCAAAACGAAATATCCAAAGGCGTTAAACTTGAAAAATCCACAATTGAAGATGTTGTTGCCTGTAAACTTGACAAAAATTACTTTGGCGTAGATAATGATATATTCATTGTTAACTCATACATTAAGCCAGCTAACACTTCCTCTAAAAACTCAAATATTTCGGGCTTTGACACCATCCGTGAACTGGACCAATTTCTCAATGTTCTTTTAAGTAAAGGTGATGTCATTACTTGTGGTGACTTCAACTCGCGTATCGGCCATGACATTGACTTTATCAAAGAGGACAAATGTGGCTACGAGAGCTTCATTCCCCTGCCAGAAGACTACACCCCACAAGAACTTCCAACCAGGAACTCAAAGACAAAAAGTCGAACAATTACAAAAGACCCTTTCTAGAAATGCTTGTCAATAATGAACTCCATATTCTCAATGGGAGAACTTTAGGAGACTCATATGGTGACTTCACTTGTATTCAGACCAGCGGTGCCAGCGTTGTTGACTACTTTATTATATCACCAAACTGCAGTAAGTATCTAAGTCATATGACAATCCAGCCGTTCACTTGCTTTTCTGATCATAAACCACTACTCCTGGCACTCAACTTCTCTCCTTCCAACACTCTTGTAAACACAAAGGCACTCCATAAAACTTACGCTCGAGCCCCACTTCGTTACAAAATAACTCCTGATAGCCTTTCAAGCTTACGGGATACAATGATGGACCCACTTGTGGAAGAATGTTCCAAAAGCCTCTTAGAAACAGATTATCCCGAAGATCTCCTAGGTACATACAAATTAAACGAAGATATCACAGTACACTTGAACAAAATAGCAGACAAATGTCTCCAAAAGACCAAACATCCCAAAATAACCAAAAAGGGATCAATAAATAAACAACCCTGGTTCACACAAGCCACCAGAGAAGCTAAAATATCTTGTACTCGTGCAGCTCAAATTGTTTCTGATTTCCCCAATAGCGATTATCTTCGAAAAAATTTTTACCAAGTAAAAAATACGTACAAAAGTTTAATTGACCGTACAAAAAACAAATATCTTGACAAATTGAATACAGATATTGAATCTGGTAAAATTCTTAACTGGAAACAATTCAAAAAACTGAAAAAATTTAAAGGAAGAGTTGACAAATTTGATTGCCATGACATGGACAACTTTCAAAAATTCTTTGGTAAACTTTATGCCAATGCACATAGCACCATAACTGTAGAGAATAAGGAAGAAATGCTTCAAAATGCAGAGGCTATTAACAATAATTTCCAACCATCCCCTGCACAATCAATACTCAATGGCCAGATCTCTGTGGACGAAATATCTACTGCGATCTCTTCACTCAAAAACGGCAAAAGTTCCTCGGAGGATATGATATGTAATGAAATACTGAAGACCTTGTCCACAACAAACACACAACTCCTTTGCAAAGTCTTTAACCGCTGTTTGGACACTGGAACTTACCCATGGAACAACAGCATTATTACACCCCTACACAAAAAAGGCGACAAAGATAATCCAGACAATTACAGAGCAGTTGCTGTGAGTAGTACAATCGGAAAACTATTTTCGACCATCATGTTAAACAGGATAATCAAGTTCAAAAATGAATACAACCCGGACCCCATAAATCAACTTGGCTTCGCTAAAGGAGCTCAAACATATGACCACATACTCACACTCAACACCATTACGTCTAAATACAAAAAGCTCAAGGTTCCCGTCTATGCTGTTTTTGTGGACTTCCGGAAGGCCTTCGACTCTGTTTGCCGTGAAGCTCTTTTCTTAAAATTAGCTAAACTAGGTATCACTGGCAAAACATTTAATGTTCTTAAACATATGTATAAAAATTCCACTGGCCAGATAAAACTATCTGGATTTGTCAGCGAAAAATTTGATATCAATAAAGGAACTGAACAGGGTCATCCACTTTCCCCTGATCTATTTAAGATATACATCAGAGATCTTTCCCCTCGACTAGAATATGATAACTGTCCGAAACTAATGAACCAACTTATCAGTCACTTACTATGGGCAGATGATCTGATACTCTTGGCACTGGACCCCAAAACCCTCCAAAAGCAACTCGATGCTTTGAACAATTTCTGCTTGGAATGGGGCGTCGAAATTAATGCAGATAAAACTAAACTCATGAAATTTAATGCCCGTTTTGATACTTATCAGCCGGTTCCCCTCAAAATTGGTGATCACTTGTTAGAAGAAGTCGAGTCATACTGCTATCTAGGAATCGAAATACACAAATCCGGCACATTCACAAATGCCCGAACTGAGCTCAAAAAGAAAGCCATGCGTGCACTTTATGCCATGAAAAGCTCAGTAAACAAATCCAAATTATCATTCCGCTCTCTAACAACACTCTTTGATGGTCTTATTAAACCTATCGTTCTTTACGGAGCGCCTATTTACACACCTAACATGGCTATCATAAAACACATAACAAAACAAGTCGATCTCAATATGGATGCCGACACAAAAACAAAATTTCAAACTAGTATCCTCAAGAAAATTAGCCTTCTGAACAGCGAAAAAGTTCACCTTCACTTTCTTAAATGGTCACTGGGGGTAAATCGTAAAGCCAGCAACGCAGGCGTCTGGGGTGAGTCAGGCCGCTACCCATTAATCTATGAATGTATTAACCTCACTCTCAAATATAGCCAACGTTTGAAAAATCTCAAAGATAACTCCCTTGTCTCCTTAGCTTTCAAAGAACAGATGAACATGAAATTGGACTGGTACAGGGGTTTGGAGCCTGTCCTCGCGCTAGACCCATGTTTCTCTACCGATCATGTCACAGCCTACCGCACACTCAAAAACAATCACTCCAAGTTACTTTTCGAAAGAAACCCGAGTATCGCAAAACCACCAAAAGAGGACTTTCTTATTCACAACGGTTTCAAGAAACGAATTCCTCCTCAATCAACACAACCCATCGGGAGTAAAATATTCACACCACACGTCATTACTAAAACTTTGAAATGTAACTTTAGAGAATATTGGGGGTCCTGTATCAACACTTCTCGGAAATTAGAATTCTATCGTGACCTAAAATCCAAATTTAACAAAGAGTATTACCTAGATAGTGTCATTAAATATGCAGACCGTGCTAATATCACAAGACTGCGGATCAGTGCACATCGACTCGAAATTGAACTTGGCCGATATAATCAAACTCCACGTGACGAGCGAATATGCTCCTGGTGCAATATAGTCTTAGGTTCTGGTATTATTGAGAATGAAGACCACTTCCTTAACCATTGTGATCTTAACGCTGCATCGAGGCGAAAAGTCCTAGACAAGATCCAGTCACTCATATCAAATCCAATCAAACCGTCTGCGACATCTTATTCTGTTCACAATGTCATCCCTGGAGCAAACGTCCTCAAATTCATCAGCAACAACAGTGAAATCATTGAACTTATCACGAACGAAAGTCAAGTCCACCTCACGAGAGTCGTTGCTAGGTTTGCCACTACGTGTTTTAACAACCGCAAGAAATTTGTTGACTCTCTGGCCAGTACATGAACAGTGAACACTGAAAATCACTGTACCCGCTTTTGTTTCTTTTCGCGCAACGACGAGTGCAAACTGCAAAGTGACCTGGCTCAAGCATTACAGCATTACCAAGGCGACTGAAAACAAAATATTTTATGTCAAATCTTTATTTTTCACTTTAGTTAAGTTATATTAATATAATAAATTCAAATCTTATGATATTGTTATTATCTTAACAGTTACTATTGTAGCTCAAGATTTTAAATTTGTATTCCTTGTATTCCTTGTATTCCTTGTATGATGAGATCACATCCTCATGGGACATGAGCTGATCAAATAGAATAGTCAAAGAATATGTGAACTCTAACTAAGCACTGTAAATACATTATTTTTTGCCGCGATTTTTCGATTTTTTTGCCGCGAATATTCCGCGATTTTCGAAATTCCCGCCGCGAATTAGCCGCGAATTAGCCTAGTTTGGCTTGTCGCGGTGCCGCGATTTTTGGCCAAAATAACCGCGAAATCCTTTTGTCCCTGCTGCAGAGAGAGCTATCTAATGTCAGCAGGACAACAAAATGGTCACTGCTTCCCTCATATTTATCCCAACAAATCGTCCCTCCCATTTTAAGGGACTTCAGGAAAATACAACCGAATTTGTACGATAAAAACTAAAAACTAAAGCCACTATAATTCATACAGCCACGTCACCGGTGAGTGCACCAACTGCCATGTAAACCACACTATGTCTAGTGATGAGAGCCAGCGTGTACGTGCAGTAACCTTGTGTAATGATAACCCGGAAACCACCACGCTACACTGAGAGAGAGAGAGGAGTAAGGGCTATTAGTTGAGTGTAGTATAATTTGGGTAGAATCATATTTTGGATATTCCGCTCTGGGAGAATATTCCAGAATATGAGGGCAAAGCTTTGTACAGTCTTGTATAATGTATAAAGCCTTATCGGCCTGTAATGGAAGGGCTTTATTATTTTGTAGAACGTTGAAAGGTCTTACAGGGACGGTAATTAAACCTGTGTGTTGCATGCTCGTATAATAGCCCTGACTTAGGGTGGGTTTAGGGCACTATCGCAACAGAGTTAGTTATTCTACCGAGAAACAGAATGACGATGATTTTAATCCAGGAATCAAGAAATTTCGAATAAAAGAGAATGAGAGAATAATATGATAGTACATGCTTGTTAAGCATAGAATTAAATCACGACAATTTGAAAGTAATGTATCAAAATTTAGATTTCACCACCAGCCACCTATTTGCTACAATTATAACGCACACACTTTTCCTCAGAGAGTAAAGGTGACATGTGACACAGACTTCATCCTCAGCGGTACCAACCCTAGGAAGTGTGTGGCCCAGAGTTGGGCGAGAGACGCACCTACTTGTACTAAAGACGGTAAGGGAGTAGGGACCGGTCACCAAAACGTAGGGGGGGGGGGGGGACCAGGGGTTTATTAAAGCTTAGGGTATTGTAGCAATCACTTGCCCCTAATCAAAAGGCTTATACATTATGAATATGTGAACGATCCCATATGATACTCCTTAGAATCCCTATTCGATAATTATTTTGAGGGACAATAGTTGACACTAAGAAGTAACGTTTCCTACAAACACAGCAACCTCACCACATCTTGTGACGTCTGTCATCTTTAGTCTCATAATTTCAACCCCACTCCTTAGTTAGTGCTTATAACCAGTCCTCTTTGTACCCCTAACAAGCTCTCAAACAGTCTAATGTGGTCACTCTCTGTTCTATTTACATTTACCAAACTTCACTAATGTAGTAAACTGGCGTAACTCTCTGTTCTATCTAACGAATGCTAACCTTACTTCTCCCTGGCAGATGGTGGACAGTGTAAGACGTTGAGTGCACCCCGTGACGGTACTATCTCTTGTACCGGCGATGATAATGGCAAGAATGTAGCCGACACAATATGTACCGTGGGGTGCGATACTAGTTTCCAGCCTGTTCGTGGAGCGGTTACTGTAAGTCTATTTTACGTTTTTGGTATTCTAAGGTATTCTAAGGTATTCTAAGGTACTCGTATTCGTTTCACCAATCTCATCACTAACATGATTTATGGAAAATAATATAGAGACTCTCATTCGTTTTATTTACCAAAGTCAAAAAGGATTTATCATTAGAACTATGGAATAAGACTCAGAAGGAATAGAAATGCACAACTTTAGGTAGTAAACAAACTCTTTAGGAAAATAAAAAACAACAAGCCTTCGCGAGCACGGTAAAAAATGTCCTCGCAAGCCATAATTGTGCTGTTTTGTGAGTTCTGCAAAACAAATCTGTAGTTCCAGAAACTAGCTGACAGGCCGCTGGTGGATTCTGTTGGTTGGAATGTGTCACGGGGCTTGTTGCTGGAGATGACAGGCTTCCTAGCAAAGGTCACGTGACATGGCCTTGATGACAGGTCACAACAGTTTATTAAGTCCTAAACATGTTTCAGGAAACTACCTGCAGAGACAAGTCCTTCCTGTGGACGCACCAGAATAAGAAAAACACTAAAGGAACATTCCCTCCCTGCACAGGTACAGTAATTAATCATCCCAGTGGACTGTTTCTTTATAAATCTATAATTGATCACTCTTCACCATTACTCTTCTACACAGACGCTGCTATTTTTAGATCTATAACAAGGCTCGGACCTATCAACACATTCTCCGAGCAATTTGGAGGAAAAATGTGGAGGTCAGCAATTTAGCACCCACTGTTATGTCGTCCATGTCACACCACAACCAGACACCAAACTCAGAGCTGGCAACTAGTTCTAGATGGAACCATCCCAAACACCACCTTGCTGAGGCGGGTTCTGAGGAATGGTGGTGGAGGACTGTGAACCAACTTAAACTATTCGTTAGGACAGTCGACTATTTGAAAATGTGCAGCTGCAGCAGAAAAAATAACAAGACAAAACATATTGCTCTCGCGTTCAGTTTATAAAGGCCTTGACTCTGTCTTGACTCCCTCTTTTAACAGTTTCGGTGTTAGAATGCGTGGCAGGCGTGAATATGAACAGGAAATTCCTGTTCATATTGTTGCAGAAACGGTTAAAAAGTTCCGTCCAAGGGTTTCAAAGTTGGTTAATTAGTGTACAAGAGTACTTCGAGTCTGAGGAATTTTCTAGAGCTGTTAAACAGACCCTCATCTGCCAATATTTGCAAAAAACCTAGTTAAACGTGGTCAATATTTAGGAATGGCAGGCTTCTCCTTCATTCTATAGAAATTTTGGCACTATCAACGAAGCCCGACTTAGAATTCGACAGTGGACTTCTACAGAACATAGAAAAATAATACAGTTAATTAGGGTAAAGATCAAGGTTAGGATAAGGAATGTGTTGGATTCCGTAGATGTTCCAGGCCTCTTGGACAGTGCCGAAATCTTTCTTTTTGTTAATTCTTCTCTTTTCAGAAATGATTGCACCGAAAGCTAAGAAGCTAAAAAACCAAGTAACAATCGGAGCTGTGTACTGTGAAAATGAGAGTCAGGTTAGACCTATTTTATGTCAGCTTTAAAATTTATCAAAGTTCTACAGATCTTTTTAAACGCAAAGAATGTTATAAACAGTTTCATACTTTCCAATGCCAACAATTTTAGCAAAGATAACTGGGGAATGTTTCAGAAAGTACTGATGGGGAAGGCTGTGGAAAGTTTCCTGAAAGACGACCTCTATATCGCATGTCTTACCGATGGAAAATGCGAGGTGAGTTTTCGTACGTATAATAGAAAAATAGAAGTCAACATAAAAGGATAGAAAACGTTACCTACTCACTATGTTTAAACAGTAATGAAATGTGACACTGCCTCTTGCTCTTTTTAAAATTCCCGTTAACTGCCTCACCTAAAATATGGTCAAATTATGGATTGAGTAGGGGCGAGAGCTACAGCTCTAAACTTCAGCTGTGTGATTTGCTGATTGTGATCACGTGATCACACCTTCCCCTCTCAGATGGACTCAGTGGACTGTCAGTACAAATCTAGCAAACAGAATATCCAGCTGACATTCACCGTGAAGCAGACACAGGACATGTTGGACAAAACTATCCTTAAAGAGGTCAAAACTAAGGTTACGAAAAGTGTGAAGGCAGAAACGTTCACCTTGAGGTAAAGTACAATCTATACTTCAAAAGAATGTTTAATTTCGGTCAAATTGATAAGCTTCTTTTTTGGTACGGAGGAAGAATGATCTTACTGAAATGAAAACAATTTCAGTATCGATGACAGCAAGAGGAGGAAGAAGAGAGCAACGACCCTGTCAGCAGAAGCAGACTCTCTGGAGACGGTGGACGAGGTGACCTGCGAAGACGATGAGGTTGTTGAGGACGGAGTCTGTGGTACGTGTAACTGTGTTGGAATAATTCACCGGTACAATTATACCACTGAGCTGTATTGACCATAGCAATGTGCTGTTTAGTTGTCTTCTGAAAAGCGAAAGTTGTTAACACACTACAAAACAAAAGTAAGGCCTGGAATTTGGCCTGGAATTTGTGTAAATAAAACCCAATTCAAGTTGTGTCGTAAAGAAAGGCGGACGATAAGTCCCTCCATGTCAAACTTTGCCAGAACCAAATGTTCACAACACTTCGCACCGCCACCAGACTCCAATACTCCAACATAAGAACCAAACACCGCAGCAAATAGTCCACTCAACTAAAGTGTTAAAATCAGACCTGGACCTTCGGCCTTCGTGTACAACGTGTATGATCCGGCAAACTTTCGAATATACGTGACAAAATAACAAAAACTTAATGAATTAGAACGGTTTCCCACCGGAATATTAAAGTACTAAGTAAACAATGTGTGTTGACACGTCAGCAGCTAGGGAAAGGTAATTTCCTAAATCGCTGTTGCTTGCGACCACAATTTCAAATACAGTGTAGCCCAGACAACCAGATGAAGTATTTTATGTAGATTTGCGGGCATTAAATTATCTGAACTATTCACGTAGTTGTGTGATGGTTTCTACATACTTTTTGGCTGGTCATAAGGCACTAAACAGCTGTACCGACAAACTCCGTTTAAACAGTCTGAGAACTTATCGTTCATTTTAACTGTGCCTTAAGTAAAACCACCGTGCTTTTAAAACATTTTACCCTCAGTAAAATGCCCTGTTTTAAACCTCTTTACCCGCAGTGAAATGCCCTGCCGGTTACAAGACAGTGGACGGGGCTTGTGAAGCGTGTGAGATAGGAACCTACAACGCAGCCGAGGGAGCTACAGAGTGTATAGCGTGTGATGGAACCAAGACCACCTACGGTACAGGGTCTACTAAAGCTGACGAGTGTTATGAACTCTGCACCGTACCTGAAGTGAGTATTGTAAGAGCCTCGTGATCTGGGTTCACTTAGAAGTTGGCAGCATAGTTGTTGGTGGTCGGGACTCGGGCACCGTAGTCCAGCAACTGTTCGTACCTTACTACCTACAACTTATTACAGCTACTTATACAGCTACTCAGCTACTGTTATATACAGCTACAGCAACCTACAACCTACTAACAAGAAATGTTGGCAATGGAGGCTATTTTTTATCAACATCAAAGCGAGATTCAAATTGCAATTTCAATTATTTAGACTATTTCGGAGGCTACAAGAACAATTATACGAAATATTTACTGTAATTATACCATATCCCATTGAAATCAACGGTTGTAATAGTGCAGATGTGACGCAGGTCGATTATTCCTAGTTTGATTTCCGAGGTTGAACAAATAAGACTTCACTACTGGCTGAGAGTTGGATGATATTATTCGCACACCGACGGCGATCAACAATTTTACCTAAAGTTGATTGGTCAATCGTTGTCACGTGTCAGAATATACAGGGTGGGCTAAAAGTCAGTACCCATACGTTGGCCTTAATAGCTCCGCCGTGTTTTATATTTGAGAGCTGTTGCTTTGCAGATGGCAAACTGTACTTACTGGTTCGAGGATTCCGTCGTCAAAATTTGAAAATTCGAATATTTTAGACCACGCCCATTCAATATTAAAACACCTATATTGTTTTCTCTGAACATGCTGAACGCCTAATGTTTTTAGAGACGGTAGATTATTAAATGTTGCATATGATCTGAAAACATGAGGCAAAACGGATTAGAAATGACGAAATTATCAAGCATTTTCTGTATCTCGTTAACAATATTGACTGGGTGATTATGTGACACAGTGACACGACAACTTAATTGGGCACCCTTAACAATTCCCATAATGTTTAACGGGGTAGTTAACGGGGGCACCTTATCACGTGATTAAGTAAACCAATCACCTGATCACACGTAATGAATAAACTCGTTATGCTTCATATCTCGGTCATCTGAGAAGCTACAGTTCTAATTCTTTCAGGACAAACGTAATTCGAATGGCCAAACACAATTCAATAACATTTAGCTTGATCCAATTATCCAAACTATCAAATAAATGTGAAAATGAACCTCCATTTGAAAAAAATGAACGCGAATATTTTTCGAGTTGACAAATTCCTCGAACCAGTGGTGGTACTAAGTCATACCAGAAAGAAGTATTTAAATTGGGCACTCAGTGACTGAGCTATAAAGGCCAACGTATGGGTACTGACTTTTGGCCCACCCTGTATGTATCAACTCCCCTACAGTCAAGCTATTAAAGCAATCCTGTTCATTTAACAATATTATGTAGGCCATGGCTTGGTCGCTTTACCTACAAGAACTAAAGACAAGTGAACCAGCAAATGAACGGGAACATTACTGATAAGCATAAGTACCATCACTAGAGCACTAGGTACATGGTACCTAACACCTCGTCACGGTGAGAGATATGACACTAATACGTCACTAATACGTCATTAATACGTCACTAACCACACCCTACCCCAGATAGCAGTCGGGTCCCTGAACCAGGAGGCTGGGTTCAAAGTGGAGCCGACCTACACCCTGACCCTGACATGTGACGAGACTTACACTGCCAGTGTTGCTTCCTTCCAGTGTTCAAGTTACTCGGCTGAAACTCACAAGTGCATCGCACAAAGTAAGTTCCTTTACCTTTTAAGGTACTTTTTTACGGTAGAGTTAATTTAATTTAGGGAGAATGAATTTCAGTAGAATGAATTTTTAATATGAAAAGAGAGATATTTGACACGTGAAAATTACGGACAATGAGTCAAAAGAACACATTATGTGTTAAGTGAATTAGAAATGAAAGATTTCGAACGATACTTGAAACTACGAAGTAAGCACAGCTTACACTGTACAGTAAAATATCGCTATCGACAGCTCACAATAGGATTAGCAATGAATTTAACCAATAACGATAAACTTATTTATCAATGAATACCATACCCTCACCTACATTGCATTAGCTCATCAGTTTATCAAATTATCGTATTTCATGACAATATCAGTGGCTGCTGAACTAGCCAAAATGCCTATACAGGCCCTGTATAAGGCAGATCGCATAATAAAATTGAGTATAGTGATATAATAATATAGAAAAAATGCGGCATTTAGTATGCAAACATTTTGAAGGATCTGTTTTAAAAATGTAATAGGATCATATTCAAGGTATACACATGTATAATAAACATAAAAGCTGTCTACAAAATGCCTCTATCACATTCTCCCCACTAAATTAGATTATCTAATTACACCCTATATAGCTCTATACTCTGGATTATTCAGGTCCTAATAATGAATTTTAAAAGGCAGCATGTGACGTCAAATAAATTAAATGTGCGAATAATTAGATTTTTTATCTCGATATTTTACTGGGCGGATCCAGCCTGAGGTCCTCAGGTAAAAATAATTAACGTGGTGTAGCTATCCAACAGGTTGTTCCCACCGCCCGACAGTTGCGGGGCGATGCCAGATGTGCAAATGTTTGTAGAATTTTCAATTAATCTGAAGAAGATCGCTACGAAAAAGTCGTCCATTCATGCTCTTATATGGGTCGCATTTTGATGATCAGTATTAATGCCCTGGAAGATAATGCGTATAACATACCTAGATATCAATCAGTAATTTTATAGCATCAGTAATCATTGATAAGAATATTAACGTACTGTGTTGACTCTTCATGGGCATATTAGAAGAGGATTGTCATTATATAGCCCACTTTTGACCGAAGAAATTTTAAGAGACTTAAAGCAAAGACGCTCGGAGCGGTTTCCAGACTCCGTAATATAGATGTAATAAATGTTCACCTAACCGGTTGTAATTTGCAAGGTTCAAATTGTGCACGAATAACATTATGCATGGTTAATATCATGTACACCTTACCTTCGTTAGGCATGGGGTTTTTTAATGTGACAGTGAAGCACCATTCAAAATCGTTTTGTACAAAATTCAAATTATAAACTTACCTCGTTTTAATTTTACAGTGGTTAAGTTAGTTGACTCTTATGGTCGTGCAACCGAGTCAATAAATTATTTTTCCAGACAATATTTTTCTCTAAGAGAGAGAAAAAAATACCGAGAATTTTGTCTAAAATTGTGCTCATAGTGCTCTACAAGTACAGCGGGTGAACCAGAAAATTATAAACTTCTAGCTCGACGAACCATATGTACAAAGTTAGCATGTACGAGTTTCTTTATGATTTTAACGAGCTGGTCAAATAGGTATAGTCACATGACCATGTCGGAACTATTTAATCTGACCCTGAACTCTAGTGCAGTGCAAATCGGCGGATCTGGCTATAGAGAACGGAGTAATGTCCGGAGCTACAGCGCCCTACGAGCAGGGAGAGAAGGTCAGCTACAAGTGCAATGATGGGTTCAAGTTGGTGGGAAACAGTGAGCTGACGTGTAACAACCGAGCGTGGAGTAACGCCGCTCCTCTTTGCAAAAGTAAGATATGTTACAGTTAGGGCGTGAGGAAGTAACGAACTTGTATCAACTGTATATTGACAACTCTCACCAGTTAGTTCGAATTGATTGATTATTCAGAGGAAAGTTTAAAATAATGAAGTAAAAAAATTAAAAGTTAAAACAACCCACTCAATCAGCTGTTAACGCGAAGTGCCTGCCATACGAAGTGAACCACGGCAAGGTGGACAAATCATCCGGCTCATTCGTTACTACTGAGGTGATAAGACATACTGATAAGGATCGATAATCATGAGATCCTATTTCATCTTAATTGCGGTAATCTAGAAAGTTCTCATCCTAGAAAGGTAAACATCTGTTGAAATAATTCACACGCGCACTTGTGTAACCTCTCATCAAACTAATTACACTCCCTCACTAGAGCGTCAGTGTGGAATGTGATTACGGTTACAACCTCAACGGAACCAACCCCCGCGTATGTGAGGATGCAGGATGGAAAACAGATGCTCAAAATTGCGTTTACAATGGTAATTAATTACTTGTGATTTTGTCGCGGAAAATATTCTTAGTATGAAAAATAACGATTTTTTGTTAACCAGTGATAAGAGCGATTCCACCTTATTACAGGGGCCTTCGTGATATCGTAGATCAGATTACTACCGGAATCTAAAATTCTTACTAACAAGAGTTTCCCCCCGAACAGAGGGAACATGTCCGGGACTAAAGGCCCCTGTGCACGGAAGTACCTCATGTACTGGAAGTAACATTAAAGATACGTGCACTGTCTCATGTAACTCAGGATACATTTATCTGAGCGAAATTAAGGTAAACATTAACCACAACTCCTTGTGTTCCCGTGCCAAGCTGTTCATTAATACCTCCATCGTAAAACGTAATTATATTAAAAAATATTAATATACAATTTTCCTGACATCTGTTATCCTACAGAAAGTGACCTGTCAAGAAGACCTACGGTGGAGCCACCAGTCCTTTACTAACAGTCAGGGAAACTTTGCCGCATGTGCTAAACAGGAGACCCCCAAGTCCCGTGTCTTAGAAGCAGAACTTTACCTGGACGTGGATTACTGTAAGACAGATCCAGAGAAATCAGCTGTGGTTGCTGCCTTTGAAACTTACATCAAGTCTGGTTCTGCGGCTGTGCCCTGTCTTACTGGCTCTAAATGCACGGTTAGTTTCTCTTTCAATAACTCTGCAATTAGTGGACTAGTTTGAGAAGATCAGTTTCAACATGATAACTCCTGACCCACCTTATCATGATTACATTAAGACTGTTCCTCTAAATTTGATTATCACCCACGTGTAAACGTCATTGTTTATACGATAAAATTAAATCATCTGAACACTTATCAGGTACAAAATACCAGCTGTAAGAATAGTGATGGATCGAGTGTAGTGAGCTTTGAGCTTCTGCAGACTGAAGACCTCTCTTCAGAAGACGCCTCCACTCTTACTTCCTCAGATTCAAGGCTCAAGGAGCTTGTCAGCACCGAAGCCATGACTTTTGAGTGAGTTTTGAGAAGGATATTTAAACTTTGAAATGAATGTAGTATTTAAAGTGTGGCATATCAGGGGATTTCATTGAACCGATTGCCATAACAAAAATAGTTTGATAATTTTGGACATAATTCTAAATTCAAGACTTTTCTCAGAGTAACAACATCAAAGAAGAGAGAGACTACGAGATTCACAGCTGAGGACGGCAGTTATACCGGGAACGTGAAAACGGCTTGTGAGGCTGGGTTTGCTCAAATCTCGGGTTCATGCAGTGAGTGATTTAATAGTAGAATAGTGTTAAGTGTTATCAACCTACCAGTACCATTTCATCAGTCTTAAACCTCTGTGAAGATAAGATTTGTTGCATTATTGATTCATTACATTTGTCTAATCTTGCTGTAAAAGCCTCTTCAATATAAAAATATGAATTGAACGATGATCCATTTAAACCTCCTAATTCGTTTCATTTTCAGTCACGTGTCCGGCGGGACACCACATCCCGGGGGGAGATATCCCGGTCTGTAACGCATGTGCGGTGGGAACCTACAGTACGGCTCCCAACTCTGTGGGCTGTGAGAAGTGTACCAGTGGCTCCACTACTTATGGTAAAGGTAGCACCACCAGTGGGGATTGTAAGAAACTCTGTAAGGTTCCTGGGGTGAGTTTATATGGGGAGAATTGTTTATTCTTCTGAAACTTTTCACTATCGAATACCCGCGAAAAGTTCATTGAAATGAACCGAAAAACTCGAAGTATGAAATTTCCGGATATTTTAGTTAGGGATCTCAGTTTGACGAACCTTTTCTCAGGTCACACACGGCAGCATGTCTCCTCCAACAGGATACAACGTAGCTCCCAACACACTCATCAAGATGACTTGCGACATTGGGTTCGTTCTGCACACGGGAGAAGAGAAGTTTGAATGTAGTACCGGCATAGTTCCTACTTGCAAGGAAGATGGAGGTAAGAAACTTGGTTCAATAATTTCGTATCTCTGCAAATTAAAGAATTAGTGTCCACGGTGAGGGTAGGGCAAATCTGAAGTAACTGGCCCGAAATATGCAAGTATACATGTGCCTCGTTTATTAATTTACGCCTCCGATCAAGGAGGCATGGTATTCTTCTGGATTAACACTGATATGTTCAATAGAGACAGATCAAGTAAGTGATGGTGGAGGCTCCACAACAGTGATCATAGTCGTGGTTGTGGTGGTCCTTGTCGTGCTAGCAGCCGGAGTGATTGCTGCATTCTTCATCAGAAAGAGAAACTTGGTAAGAACTTGATTAAAATTTTATTTCATTACTGGAATTTGTAACTGAGATTGACTGATTTGCATTAGATTGCATTTAATTGCATTTAATTAGATTGCATTTAATTGAAAGATTGAATGGCATGGATGAATGTATTGCGCACAGTTATTATTCATGATTATTGATTATTAAAATCAATCTGATTTCATACTCAGAATTGATGAATTACCGACAGAGTGACTGAGTTAGAACTCTATTATAAATGTAGGATTAGCCAAATGTTGATCTAACATTAACATAGAATCGCACTCCTTTAGTTTGCATGTTGATTGTTGATTTACTCTCAATTCTAGAAGAGGGTAGGGCGTGGCCCTGAAACTGCAACTGTTCTGGTCAATAAGAAGGCTCCTACTAATGGCCATGGAAATGGAAGTGAAAATGGGGATAATGATTACGATACTAGAATTTAGGTTTAAGTAAGTTTGCTGTTTAACGTGTGCTATTATAGCCGCTCTGAGCTGAACAGCTCTCTTCTGTGTGTCTTCAATGTTCGATGTCAAACTTATAGCACAGTGGATATTTCTAAATTCCATTATTTGTTTTTCTACAAGTCATTAAATCGCTTCATCTATCTTACAAAGTTCCTTTGGTGTAACATCTTGCATCGCTGATGAATAAGGTATCTGTGCTGCTTCACAACACGTGTACGCTGTCATGTTTATGTGAAGTATTTTAATGTTACAAGATACGAGTAAAAGAAGGAGGAGATTAGAGCGCCTCAAATTAAATAGATTAGATGTATTATATTATATTCCCAGTATGCGTTTGTAGCTGTAAACGAACTTTGGATTGTGGTTTGTAGGACCCTAAATGGTAGTACTAAATCCTCGTGCAATACAACAATGCCCCATATCACATTATTTTACTGTAACTTGTTTTTCTTCAAACTCATGAAGTGAAAATGTCCCACACTCGTTGCATGAAAAAAAAATGCTGTATGTTCATTCACAGTTCACCCGATAAGGATTTTTCAAATATATTTATATTTTTTGTTGCTTGATCAATGATCAATTTAGGAAAAAAGACGAACTATATTTTATTCTTTGACAACAAAATTCCTCAACCTATATCATAATAAAATCTTTAGACATGTTACTGTCCTCATGCATCTTGATTTTTAAGTTTCTAACAGACTGTCCAAGAAGTTCCACCGGTCGGAGTCCGGTTGTGTATATCATCGGTTACTGTTCTTGGGTTCCTGGGTGGTTCCATTACATCTGGCCTCTCAGTTGGTTGTGGTTGTGGTTCTAGTTGTGGTTCTAGTTGAGGTTCTGGTTGTGGTGCTCGTGCTGGTTTTAATGCCGCAACCTTCAGCGATGACCTGCTCTTCCACAGTTCGACATAGTTTAGCGGCTTTTTCTTTAAAGTTCTACCTCCTATCTTGCAACCTTCGAGAGATTTTAAAGAATAATCCTTAAACCCCTTATAGTGATCTTATAGTAATCTTCTCAAACTTCTTGCAACTTGATTTTAACTTAGATTTTTCACTTGTAGTGAAGTAGTGAAGGTAACACAGGCCAACACGACAATGAGAAACAGAAAGAACCGCATCGTGATCGAACTTTGATGAATAGAGTTCTGGTCGATACCTTTGGTTATTTAAAAGTAATCTAGGACGGTGTCACAACGTTATTACGTGATCGTTCTCTCCAACAGCATCATTATTATCTGATCATCACTACCTTCCTGTTTCTCTTTTTCGACAATTGGTCACTCATATTAAGTTAAGAGGCCATCTACTTAGGACGTCCGCCAAAATCGCAGATTTTTAGACCACCCCCTCCCCCTGTCAGGGTGTGTCCGAATTTTCAAAGCCACCCCCCCCCCCCCTCTCCCCCGGACGTCCGGATTTCCAGCTACTTTTAAGAGTACAAATAAAATCATCTCAAATTCATTGTTAATAAAATGTGTAGTTACTTAAAATAGACAATAATACATTAATTAGTGTCGAACAAGTTTAGCACAGTTACATTTAAGTACTTAAGTAGCCATCCACTCGAATAAGTTTTAAGACAGTAGGAGAATATGCGAGTTCTGAATACACCGTCTACCTATTTTAAACGTAGTCTAGTAACTTTCAACTACAAATATGGGAGAGTTGGTCGACAAGTCACTCGATTAAAAGAAAATTAAGGTTAGTGAGGAGCTAATAAGAGAAGGTGACGAGATGGAAATGAACTGATACATAATTATATATCAGTTTATCTCCACATTATATTTATACTTATATTAATGTGTGTGGTCAATCAATATAGCGTGATCTACAGTCTGCAATCTAGATATTATACAAACGCAGTACGAGTTACCGGGGCGTCATGATGCAGCCTCCTCCATAACAATGGAGTCTGAGTGATTATTGGAATCAGCTCCCATTAAGATTACATCCACACATAGTCGAACAGCATAAGACAAGTGGAATACAAACGAACGAATAGACTTCAAGTTCGTAAAGGACGTCGCTTGAGATCGGAGGTTTCAAAACTCTAGTTCGACAGGCGAAATTATCTTGTCGAGCTTTAGTTTGTGTCGGACTTTAGTATGTGCCAAACAAGAGTCCAGGTTCGGCAGAGTCGAACTTAAGGGTTTGTCGAACTGGAGTACGTGTACCGATCCAACCAATTGGGTGGCTAAACTAGCCGCCAGGAACTCCTGCGTAAGTGACCGTGTCTTTATGTTTTACAGTTTCATGTTTGTCATTGTTATAAGTCTTCGTATACTTGTTCAATTCATCTTAAACGGTAATGCATTGGAAGCATTTTTAAAATTAGTTAGCAAGCATGGGCATTCTGAATGCTAATTTGATATCGTCCTCACCCTGTTGCATCAATATCTGAGTGTTAAGCGTGTATTTAATATTGCATTTATTGTATTAAGTACAGCTGTAAAGAATAACCCTATAAAAGGGTTTCACACAATTCAAACAGTAAACATATAATCCATGCGAGAATTAATCGAGAATCCCGCACTACACTAAGAATTTATCACGGACGATAATTTTAACAATTATTCCCCCTAGTACTCATCTGACCAGAACCATGCTGTGAGAAAAACAGACAACAAAGCACCCGTATCAGGAAACAATGGGTTTTCAGAAAACGTATACGATACCGCAGAAACGCAGAACATATAGATGTTAATTTGCTGTCCTGATCAAGGACCAAACCGGACAGATTTTTAATTTTTTTAACTGCAGAAACTTGTGTTTTGTAGCGTTTATAGTTATAAGTCGATGGTTGGATTTTTATCAAGATTTACTGCTACAAATCAAATGCACAACCTTGGCTAATGTTGTTACTTGTTAGACTTAAAAGAGAATTGATATTTTTTGCTCTACAGAATTTGATTTAATAATTTTAGATTTTGTTTGTAAATATAGTGAAGATTTATTGCAGAGCAGAGTTTCATTCAAACATGCGACAGAATTGTCCTGTGTCCATTCTGTTCACTGCCCCTAGGAACAGAGGAAACATATTGGTGCGGTAAAATTATGCAAAAAGTGTGATCCCACTCCTGCCTACAATTATTTTATGTGCGTCAGATTTTATTTTTAAGGGGAAAAAACACCGCGATTAAGCTAAACAATTCGCCAAATTTGCAGCCTTTAGGTAGTGGTCTTCTCAAGTTGGATTATTCAACATCGTAGTATTTTATACTATACTAATTACAACAGTACAAATCTATTACATTTATTAAAGACGTTACAGAAGGAATTAATTTAATGTAGTTTGAGGAATCCTCACTCTCCTCGCGTCCAACAATGGCGCGTTCCTCTTGTCTAAGTAATATAACATTGCAATACACGATTGCTTAGTTTAACCCATCAAGTCACTCAAGCTCACAACGTTAATGTATTACACCGAGTTTCCTGACAATTCAAGATATAAAATTCTAGAAGCACCCTCATAGAAGCTTTTAGTTTTACAATGAGATGTGTTTAAGACAACTGGGGTTACTTGAGCTGACGATGGGCTCAATTGAGACAAGTACTCAAAGTCAATATTGTAATTTTACAACATCGTTTGTATAACTAATAGTAATACTATATCTTATATTGTAAAAGCTAAAATGGCTGCAAATTATATTATGATTATCTAAACGTAACTCAATTTCAATCTTTTTAGGGACTGCGATCCAGCTTGTGGAGTTATTTATTTGCCAAAATTCATCCTATTTCGTTTTTTCGACTATCGATAATTAGAAGCTTTTAATATTGAACATTCTTGGAACATTTTTGGAGGAAAATTGTTCTATATAATATGTGTTAATACTTTCAACACTACTATATAACAAATAATTTGAGCATGAATAAGAAGTTGTTACTTTGAAACGTCGTTTATCCTAACAGTGCAATATCATTTGTCGCAAATCAGAATAATCAGAAACTATTTGGAAAACCCAAAAACTGTCAATTGTTCTATATGTGTTTTTCCTGATTTTTAAAACTAAAAGCGATACTCTCTTTCTGATGTATTTGATGTTACGAAAAACGTTTGAACCTAATCATACTAAATACTAAATAGTTATGGGCATGTCGATATTTTCTTATTGATTTGTACACAGCAGTACCAAGTGCACAAATCTGATAGAACGAATAATATTATCGGCAGATGGTGCAGAAAGTTCGGTATACGGTTAATAGTGCGATTTTTCACCCACCGCACTTATATGTTGCCTCTGCCCAGGAATAATTGATCATGGGCCACTGCAAATTTACATGAGATGGGAGACTATTAGTTGCTAATGACTCCTCAGTGAATCAACCCTATCAACAGTGATGTTGAAACTTGAAACATCCTATCGGAAATGGACCAACCCTCATTCAGTCACATTTTTGACACTGTTTTCCTTTTCAGATAATATTTAAATCTAACTTAATTTGAGGCAGCCAAAATGCGGTGTTTGCTATGTTGTAAGTTGTAGGCTTCAATTTCCCTAAAATATTGCCGTCTACTTACAATTTTGTCAGACGATCAATTTTAGGATGTTGTTACTTTGAATTCCATCGCGGTTAAAAATATCGATTTTTTGTTGTAGTTGTACTTGTCCTTGATTTAGTTGATTTGTAATAAATTTTGATTTTTATGAAACTTTTATTACAAAATTGTTTTTTTGTTGATATGATAATATTTTCAATGTATATCTCATCGATAAGAATGTCAAGAGATTGCAAGTATTGATCTAGACCTGGTCCTTCAATTGTTCTCATGAAATATGTCATTTTGTGCCTAATTCCATGAGTGAAATTGAATGCTGCATAAGCTGCTTGTGCCTGTGGCTGGGATTGACCAAAATCTGATAATCTGTTGATTATTTTGGTCCATTTTTCAACTAAATATGAATCAATGTATTCAGATGCCAACGAACGTGCAAATTTGGCTAGCTCATCACGTAAATCTTGCCCCTCTCCTTAACCCGAAATCGACTTTAATAATGGAGATGGTTTCTAATTAAAAATTAAATTTTACGCAATGGTTTAAAAATCAACATTCTAACATTCTACACGCTAACTTCAATTTGATAAGAAGAAAAATTAGATAATTACGAAACCCAAAAGTAAACAATTCCCTGTTCAAATTCTTCATACATGCTAAAACTGTGTATGAGTATCTAAAAATTGTTCCGGACTATTTCATCCTTTGCCATAACCTTAAATCATGAATCCCAAATACTCAAATATCATGCCCCTTTAGCTGTAATAGTTAACGTTATCATATCTTCGTCCATGTGCTGTTCTCCTAGTGAGGTAACGGTTTAGCTTTCTTGGCTATTGTTGTTGTTTTGCGTGTTCCACCTGGCCCTATCCCTAAAATTGAGAATTTAGGGTATGATAATGAGTATTGTTGATATTTGATGATACTTAACAATTGTGTTGAAGCAGTAATAACTTGATTATCTTAAGTGTTCAGAAACAGAATATAGTTGAACTAGTACTACCGTATAACACTCCTCCATAGCAATTTATTTTCAAAATTTGCTCCATAAATAAACAGATATTTCTATTTTTACAATCCCTTCATTCCTTCTGCTTGAAAATGCAAATAATCAAGCATGATACAAATTTTCGATTACCTTTTCACTTTGTCACTGTATATTTCAACCTCGCATAGAGTTAAGATCCCACGCTGAATTTCTATTGTGATCTGATCTGCGATAACATGCCCACACTCGACCTCATACACACGTTTACCCTTTAGAAAAGTTAGTCGTTCACCACACTTTTTCTTAGTTCCTCCAGACAGAGTAAATACCTGTAGGCTGTAGATAAGTAGAAAATATCTTACAAGTGCAAAAAGTGACAAGTAATGAGATGGGTCCTTTTTTGTAGATTTTATTTATAAATATTAAAATGTACTCACCAATCTCGTCCAAAATTTGATAGTTTACAGTTACACAGTCTGCCTAATGGTATGAAATCTGACTATCAATTATTTACTTGTATATGAGTTAAGACAAACCTGAGCTCCATCGATCATTCTGTCTTGACCATTTTCCGCTATGTTGTAGATTGCTACCCTGGAAACCTCGTAACCTGCTGCGAGGTCAAGCTTCCACCATTGGGGGACTGAACCTGCTGTAATTGTACAGGAGCTGAAAAATAAATTCCAGCTATGATTGTGAAGTGATGAGTTTAACTATAATATGCGTGACTTGCAAACTCACACGACAAAAAAGCAAAAAGGAGGAACATTGAAGGTTGACTCCTTATTGAAACTTTGAACTCTACTTTAAATCATGGTTATCTGATCTTGGTTGTCTTGAGTTTGGGAAGGCAGAATAGAACAATAATATGTTTCATCCATTCACTGTGTCACTCACTTGCTGCTGAATTCTCCATTCGTATTTCCGTCAATGGCTCGCTCAGGTGCTCCACCAACACTTCTTGAACCGCTTTGTGAAGCCGAAAAGTGGGAATTATCGATAAGACCAGCTGAAAAAGGAGATCTTTATTTTTAGAAGTACTACATGATCAGCCTCCAAACATCAAAGATAGTTCATCTTATTTATCAGCTATTAAGGGCCCTTGGTATATTGAGTTAATGATCTCTTGGAAATCAATTTTGTGTCGACTGCAAAATAGTTTCAAGTATCAGGAGTATCGGGAAGGGGTTTTTTTGGAACCCCCTTAAGTTTGCGTGTGTGTTATACGTGCCTTATCCAACTTCTGAAATTTGTTTTTTGTGTGTAATCCGTGCCTCAAGTGTGCCTTCAGTGTCGTCCGACAAATAACCGAATCACCTTGTCTGAGGAAATCTTACCGTCTTTACAGAAAGGCTCCTCTGTGTAGGAGAACTGATCCTTCTTCAGGCAGGTCACTTCTCTGTCCCCTGTATTAATGTAGTCTCGTGAGCAGGACACTTGGATAACTTGTCCAATCTCAACAGGAAAGCTTGCGGAGGTTATCACGGACTTCCAACCAAAAGGTAATCCTTCACAAACTGCGACTGGCGGATATTTTGACTCTTCACACTGGAAGCGTACATTTATGATGCCTTGATGATCGTTTTTGAAAACTTTTTTTAAATGTGATATCGCTCCGTACATCACTTGAGCTCCCACAAATGCTTGTCCTGTAGGACACTGGATCATGTTGTTTTTATTCCCATTCCAGTTTGTTCCAGAGTCATGCCATGAGTAACCATCAGTGCATCTGAAGCTAGCGTTCACCAGACCGCAGCAGCTCTGGCTATGTCCCAAGAAAGAGTCAATTCCACCTTTCCCAGAGCATTTCACCCCTTCGGAAAGTTTTTCATTGGACCACTCTGATTGTGGTTGGTTAACATAATCGATAGCTTTAGGTCCTGAAATATCAAGCATAACTGCAAAGCTGGTGAACCAGCTCCAGATACTACTGCTATCAGGTCGTTCTCTGTCTGTTAATCCATCTTCCCTCAATCGCTCGTATCCAACAAACTCTACAAACTGGCTTGCCCTTCTATCCGGATCGTGACATCTTAACGCAAGATCGATGAGTCCATGTCCCGATCGGTAGAGCCAAGCCATGTCGACTATGTAGAACCCTTTAGGACAGGATTTAGTTATCTTCGCTCCGTTTGATCCTGGATGTGACCAGTTTGTCCAGGTCCTGGAAACTGCAAGGAGATTTATGAGAATTCTTCTGTCCTACGAAAACAATCATTTTTTTTTACAAAGTTGGAATGAATTTTAGAATTAATGAAATGTTCGAAATAACTATAAATAATAAAGAAACGCAAAATAAACGTTTTATTTAGGTATGATCATTAAGAGATTAAGGCGATGTGATGGATGATTTTAAAATTGCATGATCTAGATACTTATTTTCCTTCAGTAGGTAAATGCCTCATTACATATATTTAGTTTACACTGAAAAGAATCGAAGTGTCTTACAAGACTGTTAATAATGTTATTTAATGTACATTCCTTACTTTTACCCTTTGCTAACCAACTTATCCACTCATTTAGATCATGTATCAAAGTTTTCCGTTCACTTTGCCGACACAAACTAAGACACTGTTGTGCCTGCACTTACCAGATTTACAGTTAGGTTTCCTTGTATAAAGGTGTACTGGTCAGCTACTACACATGTTCCCTGACTGTCCCCATAGTTATTCATTCCAGGACGACATGCGAAGCTTATCTTATCTCCTGTCTTATATATAGTATCCTTGTATACACAGATGCTCTCTGAAGTGTTTATTTGTTTGAGCTTTACTAGGCTTATATGGTGGGGGGGGGGGGGGGGGTATGATAAGTGAATGAAACAGGGGAAAGGTGTTTAGGTTAACTTCACTAACCTTCAGGTCTGATGAAAAAGTTTTTTCTCTCGTCGAACGTTAGAAATAATATTTCTTTGTTAGTCCAATTCTTTTCACACGTATCACCGCGCCTATCTGCAGCGAAGTTAAAATTAAGAAGAGTTTTTCCGTTGCACTCCAGAACCAAGCTAGTCGGTGTGAGAGACAGTCTCAAGATCTTGGGGCCGAACGGGACCTGTCGGAGTGGTTGCACTGCATCGCAGAACTCTACTTTGTACTGCCACTTTTTACTTCTATCTTTGTAGAATGTGAACGTAGACGCAGTTCCATCTGAGAACACAAACTTAGGATTTATCCTTTCCCGCTCAATATCACGTGCTCCTCTAATGATTAGAGTCTGACCTTGACTTAGTGGATACTTCTTCAATTCTACTGGCGCTTCCCAGCCTGAGCAGGAAAATAATAATTATCATTTAAACTCTTCGCTGTAAATAACCTATCGCTCAAGCTTCAATTCGTTTTGAAGAGAAATGCTCATATCGTTCCAAGTAAACAAATAATATTATGTGAAGCAAAGTGCTAACCTTGAGGCCGAGGAAGGTTGGAGTTAGGTACCTTTGCGTAAGCTACTGATAGAGGTACGATCATGATAAACATAGCATAACACATTCGACCTTGCTTTCTCATCTCCGACATTTAGATTATCATCAGCTAAATGGATATGATACATGTGACGCACTATATTATACCACCCCTCCGCAATCATCTCACTCCTCCGCAATCATCTTACTCCTCCGCAATCATACCACCCCTCCGCAATCATCTCACTCCTCCGCAATCATACCACCCCTCCGCAATCATCTTACTCCTCCGCAATCATACCACCCCTCCACAATCATACCACCCCTCCGCAATCATACCGCCCCTCCGCAATCATCTCACACCTCCGCAATCATACCACCCCTCCGCAATCATCTCACTCCTCCGCAATCATACCACCCCTCCGCAATCATACCACCCCTTCGCAATCATACCACCCCTCCGCAATCATACCACCCCTCCGCAATCATACCACCCTCCGCAATCATCTTACTCCTCCGCAATCATCTCACTCCTGAACATTGCATGTGCGAAATTGAGCAAACATTGATATACCAGCTTAAACACCCTACCTTACAAGACTTTTTCATAACGTACGAAATGCGACGGTTTTTCCCGAAATTTCGACATATTTTCGGACCGCCAAAATTTCGGTCGTCGTAATAGAATCCGTCGCATTATTTTTAGCTTATTCCAATAATTGTGGCTTCATCGATTCATTTTGTTCTTGAAAAGTTAGTGATATGATGGTGGGACAAATAAACACAATATGCCATGATGAATTTAATGTCAAGTAATACGTTTTAAATTTACAATAAATTACATTTATGTGCTAACATAAACGTCTTATAAGAGACTAAGTCAAGATAAACAATTTAATACCAAACTCAATAAGTCATGTGATGCAGATATACTGTTATTGATCAGTAGAGTAAAATTTAGATTTTAGATTGAAATACTAAAATCAGCACTAATCAGTAATCATCTTATTACTCAAGTCAATTTAAAAAGGATCTTGTTCCGGAAAAGTAACCACATGGACTGATATCTACGATGGTGAGAAGGTTACTATCCATCGGGAAACTAACGATGTGTCTCTTCAACATGATCGGTATGCGTGTGCCGTGAAGCGGATAAAGGACGGAAGAGCTTTGCTTGTTCCACATTTGGTAACCGTCGGACATATTCCGTTAGAAGTTAGTAAACATTGTCACTATTTCATGTGCCACGGTGGGGAAATTAATGGAGTTGTTGAGGATAGCAGACACCGTCGTTCCCCTATACCCTCCGGTGGATTGGAAGTCAAGTTGAAACTTACTTTCAAAGGCCTCGGAGACATCGTGTACAAGATGAAGCAGCTTATCCGAGAATCTTACTCCTGTGAGTACACTGGAGAACAGCGTGAAACTGAAAGAGTCGAGCCGGACCCATTAGAGGAAGATGAAGAAATCGATTTATAAGTTTCATTTTGTTTCAACATGATTTTACCGATTTTTAGAAAATTTGGAATTTCCTTTGTGTCAGAAAACAAAATGATGAAAAATACCCTTATTTTCTGTGACGTCCGAAATGTGACGGTTTTTGTTCAATTTCGCCATATTTTCGGACCGCCAAAATTTCGGTCGTCGCAAATTGGTCCGCCACAAAAAAGTCTTGTAAGGTATATCACGTACTGGATCAATCGGCACTATTACAACAACCTAGTAATATGTTTACAGTGTCACAATTGAAACAAAATGGTAAAAAACGGGTTAATTTCGTCACAAAAATATTATAACTCTGTTTCCTCCTTGCTGGAAAATAACTAGTTTATCGAAATTTGTATGATGACAAAATTATATTTAATTCTAATAGAGGTATGGCGAACTTCAAAATAGGGCATACAATGTTAATTTCGTCACATAAGTTGTTGTAAAAGTTTGATAATTTTTCATTCACATCGATATTTCTCATTATGGTTCACGGAATTGATTAATACAAGAAATATAGCAGCCCATACCAGTTTTCCGTATTAAATTTATATTGTTAGGGGCACAAAATTTTAATTTGTCACATTTTTAGTGACTAATCAAAATTTAACTTAACATTGTTAAACTTGAGCTCTGATGTGCTGGACAATAATTACCAATTAGTTCTGAAATTCTAATAGAGGTATAGTTCTTCAGAATAGGGACAAGAAATGTTAACTTCGTCACATCATTTTTGTGACAATTTTAATATCAACTGCCATATCTTGAAACAACTGTATCGTCCATACTCCTTATATGGAGTTTTCCCGCTTTTCAAACCAAAATCAGATAAAAATGATTTCGGCAATGCTCCCAAAATTGAAAATTCCATAAAATGTGACATAATTAACCTCATTTCACAATAACCAAGTGTGTGTATTATTATTAGGCAACCATTCAAAACAGCATATTTTAGGGCTGTGATCGATAGAAGAACCGTCACACAATGAGTTAAAAGAGTTTTGAGGACACCTCACAGTAGAAAAGAGGTATCGTATTATGAGTGTGACAAAGTTATCCAAATATTGCCGTATACGGAACCATTGGATCCGTGCCCTTTAACTAATGGTGTATTATAATTGTTAGATTGACCTAATCTACTATATTTCAGACCAAGGAATGTTAATTGGGCAGCTACAGTTAACTAAGTCACAGAAATGTGACATTTAAACATTATAGTGTCTAACAACAACAAATTTTATTTCTGAGCAGTGCATATGGGAGTATGGGTCACGTGGCTAATGTTCAGAACTTCTGAACTGTGAACACTGATTCTGAACATGCTATGTTAACCCATTAGGGACGACGAGTTTTAAAGTTTGCCGATTTTGATGCCGTTTAACACACTAGGTCACTTTACAGCAAAAATGAGATATCCAAAAAAGCTAATCTGTATCTCGTTTACTTTAAAAGATACAGCTATGGTCGCATACGACCCACTCGTCCGGGTCGCAAACGACCCATCACGGTTTTTCGGCTTTAACTTCTGAAACAAAGACTTTAGGATAAAATAAAATAAAAAGCATAAGTTAAAAACATATGGTCAATACTGTGTGACTCTAACTTTTTAAAAATAAAGAATTTGGGTCATTAACGACCCACTCGGCTCACTTGCTTATTACTACATATGTCCATGTAACTTCTTGAATTCAGCCTAAAGCATGACATCATAAGTTCAAAATCGCCTCTCAGCAAGTGATAATCATCATAAACTGCGAAAAATCGGTTAAATGGGTCATTAGCGACCCACTAAGACCACAAAATTGATTAATTAAATATAATGTTGTCAAACTTTTACAAATATTAGTATAAAAACATGTTATATCTTGGTCATTACTCCTGTACGTTGATTTAAATTTTAAAATCGATCAACTGGGTCAATAACGACCCACTCGGAAGTTGAACCACGACATTAATTATCAGTATCATGTTGTTCTACCATCAAGAAAGACACTCGTAGGTCTTAATTCCACGCAAACCACGGGTGGCTGACTACTAGCCCTTCTGAGATCTGGAGTCTCACGGTAATCTGCAGATCACGTCACCCAATGACTGACGAATAATGGGCAGAATTGGATTGATAGGTAGGTGAGTTTATCAGCTGTTAGTACACGACCGTAATGTCGTGAGACAGCAAACAACATGCCTATCTTTTCCCGATTCCTAGAACGTCCAAGAAGAACTATACAACTGCTGGATTCAGATTTCAGATGGCTGCATCTACTCTCTTCGCAGCTCCCTTTCTTTACTTCTTTGGGGCCGTTCATATATTACGTAATCACTTATTGGACAATTT